AATTTTTTCACCATTATAATCACCATCCCTTTTTATGTAGGTTGACCAAAGCAAAATAACCAACCGCGAAGGTGAGCCAGCGGGGCCGCCGCACCGAAGAACTCTGCCATCGGTAAGCTTTGGTTCTTTGACTTTTTTCGGCCAACCAATACCCTTTAATGTGTTTTCTCACAGGGATTGGTATAAAATCGGCCAAAAATAGCCAACTCGAGGTAAACCGCCGCCCGTGTGCCGTTGCCAGAGCACGGCAGAGCCGCTGTGCCGGAATTCTGAAATTGGCCAAAAAAGAGTTTTTAACACTGATTTTGAATTTTTTTTTTGTATTTCTAGATACTTGAAGCGCGTTTTAATCTTCGAAAAAAAATTTAGGGAATCTAGGGACCGCCAATAGGCGCAATTAAAAACTTAGCATTCGGACACCAATTCGAGTAAAAATCTTTCACCTTATTCCCTGTTATAGAATTGAAGTTTAATTTTAAATAATATAGTATTTTGTGAAACTTAAAAAATATTCGTAATTAATTAGATGTTACTAATGGAGTCGGAACCGGTTACTTATTACTGTTTCTTATGTTTAACTGATTGTCTGATTTTACAGTTTTTGAATGCATGATAATGCACTGAAATTTGTATGATGATGCGATTGTGTTTCCTTTATGCATATATTGTTTGTTTTATGTGATTACGGTTAAATTGAAAAATTGAAAATTAAATATAAACGTGAAATTGTTTGATTAAGTAGTTGAATGAACGGCAGCCTTACTGAATATCCTAGAGATGGTGGACGGACCGGGTACATAAGAAATCTTACTGTGAACATTGTCTCATACCAGACGAGGTATCGATGATGGGTAATTTGGCACTCATACCGAATGAGGTATGAGGAAGGCCTGTTTCACCCTCATACCAAACGGAGTATTAAGAAATGGTATCTTTTGGAACTCATACCAGACAAAGTATGGGAACGGTCCATTATTTAAAAATATTGAATAAACGTTCACGTGTAGTGAGAATATCCCTATGAACCCCCATGGATACCAGTACGCTGATAAAGAGAAAGTGTGTCTGACTGATACATATGATATATATATTGTTATGTATTACTCTATAAATAGTTTGGAATCTCGCTATGGTAGCATG